AGTCTCAGGGATTTGGGGGGGCTCTCAGGGGGTCACTCAGGGTTTTGGGGGTTCACTCTAGGGGTTTTGGGGGTTCGCAGAGTGGTCTCAGGGGTTTTTGGGGGTCACTCAGGGGTTTGGGGGGCTCTCTAGGAATTTGGGGAGCTCCCAGGGGGTCACTCAGGGGTTTTTGGGGGCTCCCAGGGGGTCTCAGGGATTTTTTGGGGGTGTCACTCACAGCTGCAGCCTCGGGGGGTTCGTAGGTGAAGCTCTCAGGGAAGGCTTTGGCCAGGGCCATGCGCCGGGCAAGCGTGTAGTACTGGGGGGAGGAAAGGGCTCAGGGACCCCCCCAGGACACCCCCAGAACACCCCCAGACCCCCAGTGGGACCCCCAGACCCTCCCCCACCTCCCCCTGCCCAGGAACTTCCAGTCCAACAGGTCCAACAGTCTCCAAAACCCCTGAGATGCTTCCAAACCCCCCAGATGCCTCCAAACCCCCTGAGAAGCCTCAAAATCCTCAGGAACCCCCCAGGATCCCCTGGAGGACCCCCAGACCTCCAGTGGGACCCCCAGTGGGACCCCAGACCCTCCCCAACTCCCTGCCCAGGAACTTCCACTCCAGCAGGTCCAACAGTCTCCAAAACCCCTGAGGTGCCTCCAAACCCCCCTGAGATGCCTCAAAATCCCCCCAAAACCTCTCCTGGGGGACCACCAGGACCTCCCCACGACCCCCAGACCCCAGTGGGACCCCCAGACCCTCCCCCACCTCCCCTGCCCAGGAACCTCCACTCCAGTAGGTCCAACAGTCTCCAACCCCCCAAATGCCTCCAAACTCCCCAGATGCCTCCAAACTCCCTGAGAAGCCTCAAAATCCTCAGGAACCCCCTCAGGATCTCCTGGGGACCACCAGGTCCACCAGGACCCCCAGTGGGACCCCCAGACCCTCCCCACCTCCCCCTGCCCAGGAACCTCCACTCCAGCAGGTCCAACAGTCTCCAAACCCCCCAAATGCCTCCAAACTCCCCAGATGCCTCCAAACCCCCAAGGACCCCCTGAGATGCCCCCTAAACCCCCTGAGATGCCTCCAAACCCCACCAAGACCCCCTGAGATGACTCCAAACCCCCTAGACCCCCTCAAAGCCCCCTCAGGACCCCCTGAGATGCCTCCAAACCCCCTGAGATGACCTCCAAACCCCCCAAGACACCCCAAACCCCTAGAGATCCCCAAACCGCCTCTGAAATCCCCCCAGTCCCCCCAAGTTGACTCCAAACCTCCCTAGGACCCCCCAGAGCCCCTCAGAACCCCCTGAGGTGCCTCCAAACCGCCCCAAGACACCCTAAACCCCCTGAGGGGCCTCCAACCCCAGGACCCCTGAGGTGCCACCAAACCCCTGAGATCCCCCAAACCCCCCAAGATGCCTCCAAACCCCCAGGACCCTCCAAACCCCTCAAGGTACCTCCAGGACCCCTGACTTGCCCTCAGGACTCCCTGAGATGCCTCCAAACCCCTCAAGATCCCCTTCAAACCCCCCAGGACCTCCCAAATCCCCCTCAGGACCCCCCAAACTCCGCTCAGGACCCTCAACCGCCCTAGACCCCCAAACTCCCCCCAGGACCCCCAAACCCCCTCAGACCCCCTAACCCCCCTAGACCCCCTAACCCCCCAGGACCCCCCAACCCCCCTAGACCCCCCAAACCCCTTCAGGACCCCCAAACCCCCTGAGATGCCCCCCAAACCCCTAAGATGCCTCCAAACCCCAAGTGACCCCTCCAAGCCCCCTCAGATCCCCCAAACTCCCCTGAGATTCCCCCCAAATGCCCCTGAGATACCCCCAAACCCCTTGAGATGCCCCCAAATCCTCAAGGTCCCCTCCAAAACCCCAAGGTGCCTCCAGGACCCCCTGAGATGCCCCCAAACCCCTCTGAGATGCCCCCAAACCCCTGAGATGCTCCCAAACTCCCCCAAGACACCCCCAAATCCTCCTAAGCTGCCTCCAAACCCTCAAGATCCCCTCCAACCCCTCAGGACCCCCAACCCCTCCAGGACCCCTAACCCCCCTAGACCCCAAGCCCCTGAGATGCCTCCAAATCCCCTGAGACCCCTCAAACTCCCTGAGGTGCCTCCAACCTCCCTAGGACCCCTGAGGTGCTCCTAAACCCCTGAGATGCCTCCAAACCTCCCAGGACCCCTCAAACCCCTGTCAGGACCCCCTGAGGTGCCTCCAAACCCCCTGAGGTGCCCCCCAAACCCCCTGAGATGCTCCCAAACTCCCCTAAGACACCCCCAAACCCCCTAAGTTGCCTCCAACCCCCCAGGACCCACCAAACCCCTTCAGAACCCCCCAACCCCCTAGACCCCCCAAACCCCCCTCAGACCCCCCTCTCACCCTTCCCAGGTACTTCCAGTCGAGCAGGTCGGAGAGGCGCTCGGTTCGGTTCCTCTGCACGATCCTCTGACGTCGGCTCTGCTGGCAGAAACTGTACAGGAAAGCTGTGAGCTGGGCACAGGACTCCTCTGGAGCTCGGAAACGCCGGTCCACGATGTAAATCCCTGCATTTGGGGAGAAAATCAGGGAATGAGGGCATGGAAATGGTGATAAATGATGGAAATCCCTGGATTTGGGGAGAAAATCAGGGAATGAGGGCATGGAAATGGTGATACATGATGGAAATCCCTGGATTTGGGGAGAAAATCAGGGAATGAGGGCATGGAAATGCTGATCCACGATGTAAATCCCTGGATACAGACACAGGAAATCATTAAATCAGGGAATGAGGGACACAGGAAAGCTGTGAGCTGGGCACAGGATTCCTCTGGAGCTCGGAAACGCCGGTCCACGATGTAAATCCCTGGATACAGACACAGGAAATCAGGAAATCAGGGAATGAGGGACACAGGAAAGCTGTGAGCTGGGCACAGGATTCCTCAGGGGCTCGGAAACGCCGGTCCACGATGTAAATCCCTGGATACAGACACAGGAAATCAGGGAATGAGGGACACAGGAAAGCTGTGAGCTGGGCACAGGATTCCTCAGGGGCTCGGAAACGCCGGTCCACGATGTAAATCCCTGGATACAGACACAGGAAATCAGGAATCAGGGAATGAGGGACACAGAAATGCTGATCCACGATGGAAATCCCTGGATTTGGGGAGAAAATCAGGGAATGAGGGACACAGAAATGCTGATCCACGATGGAAATCCCTGCATTTGGGGAGAAAATCAGGGAATGAGGGCACAGAAATGGTGATAAATGATGGAAATCCCTGGATACAGACACAGGAAATCAGGAAATCAGGGAATGAGGGCACAGAAATGGTGATAAATGATGGAAATCCCTGGATTTGGGGAGAAAATCAGGGAATGAGGGCATGGAAATGGTGATAAATGATGGAAATCCCTGGATTTGGGGAGAAAATCAGGGAATGAGGGCATGGAAATGGTGATAAATGATGGAAATCCCTGGATTTGGGGAGAAAATCAGGGAATGAGGGCACGGAAATGGTGATAAATGATGGAAATCCCCGGATACAGACACAGGAAATCAGGAAATCAGGGAATGAGGGACACAGGAACAACAATCCACGATGGAAATCCCTGGATACAGACACAGGAAATCAGGAAATCAGGGAATGAGGGCATGGAAATGGTGATAAATGATGGAAATCCCTGGATTTGGGGAGAAAATCAGGGAATGAGGGCACGGAAATGGTGATAAATGATGGAAATCCCTGGATTTGGGGAGAAAATCAGGGAATGAGGGACACAGAAATGGTGATAAATGATGGAAATCCCTGGATACAGACACAGGAAATCAGGAAATCAGGGAATGAGGGACACAGGAACAACAATCCACGATGGAAATCCCTGGATTTGGGGAGAAAATCAGGGAATGAGGGCATGGAAATGGTGATAAATGATGGAAATCCCTGGATTTGGGGAGAAAATCAGGGAATGAGGGCATGGAAATGGTGATAAATGATGGAAATCCCTGCATTTGGGGAGAAAATCAGGGAATGAGGGCATGGAAATGGTGATAAATGATGGAAATCCCTGGATACAGACACAGGAAATCAGGAAATCAGGGAATGAGGGACACAGGAAAGCTGTGAGCTGGGCACAGGATTCCTCTGGAGCTCGGAAACGCCGGTCCACGATGTAAATCCCTGGATTTGGGGAGAAAATCAGGGAATGAGGGCATGGAAATGGTGATAAATGATGGAAATCCCTGGATTTGGGGAGAAAATCAGGGAATGAGGGCATGGAAATGGTGATAAATGATGGAAATCCCTGCATTTGGGGAGAAAATCAGGGAATGAGGGCATGGAAATGGTGATAAATGATGGAAATCCCTGGATTTGGGGAGAAAATCAGGGAATGAGGGCACGGAAATGGTGATAAATGATGGAAATCCCTGGATTTGGGGAGAAAATCAGGGAATGAGGGCATGGAAATGGTGATAAATGATGGAAATCCCTGGATACAGACACAGGAAATCAGGAAATCAGGGAATGAGGGACACAGGAACAACAATCCACGATGGAAATCCCTGGATTTGGGGAGAAAATCAGGGAATGAGGGCATGGAAATGGTGATAAATGATGGAAATCCCTGGATTTGGGGAGAAAATCAGGGAATGAGGACCCCCTCCCCAATTCCCAAGAGCTCTGGGACCCCCTCCCCAATTCCCAGGGGTTCAGGGACCCCCTCCTCAATTCCCAGGGGTTCTGGGACCCCCTCCCCAATTCCCAGGAGCTCTGGGACCCCCTCCCCAATTCCCAGGGATTCAGGGCCCCACTCCCCAATTCCCAGGGGTTCAGGGACCCCCTCCCCAATTCCCAGGGGTTCTGGGACCCCCTCCTCAATTCCCAGGGGCCCAGAGACCCCCTCCCCAATTCCCAGGGGTTCTGGGACCCCCTCCTCAATTCCCAAGAGCTCTGGGACCCCCTCCTCAATTCCCAGGGATTCAGGGCCCCCCTCCCCAATTCCCAGGGATTCAGAGACCCCCTCCCCAATTCCCAGGGGTTCAGAGACCCCTCCCCAACCCAAACCCTCCCAGTGCTGCAGAACCGAGACAGGAGAAGACCCAGGGATTCTGGGACCCCCTCCCCAATTCCCAGGGGTTCAGGACCCCCTCCCCAATTCCCAGGGGCCCAGAGACCCCCTCCCCAATTCCCAGGAGCTCAGAATATCCCCTAAATCCTCTCCTCAATTCCCAGGAGTTCTGAGCCAACCCCTCCCCCCAAACCCTCCCGGTGCTGCAGAACCGAGATAGGAGCAGAGCCCGGAATTCAGGGACCCCCCTCCCCAATTCCCAGGAGCTCTGGGACCCCCTCCCCAATTCCCAGGGGCCCAGAGACCCCCTCCCCAATTCCCAGGAGCTCAGAATATCCCCTAAACCCCCTCCCCAATCTCCAGGGGTTCAGAGACCCCCCCCGGTGCTGCAGAACCCAGACAGGAGGAGACCCAGGGACTCTGGGACCCCCTCCCCAATTCCCAGGGGTTCAGGGCCCCCCTCCCCAATTCCCAGGGGTTCAGGGCCCCCCTCCCCAATTCCCAGGACCCCTAGGACCCCCAACCCCTCTCCCCAATCCCTAGAGGCTCAAACACCCCCCAATCCAAACCCTCCCGGTGCCGCAGAACCCAGACAGGAGGAGACCCTGGATTCTGGGACCCTCCAATTCCCAGGGGCTCTGGGACCCCCTCCCCAATTCCCAGGGATTCTGGGACCCCTCCTCAATTCCCCAGGACCCCAGGACCCCCCAGCCCCTCTCCCCAATCTTTAGAGTCTCAAACACCCCCAATCCAAACCCTCCCGGTGCTGCAAAACCCAGACAGGAGGAGACCCCGGGTTCAGGGACCCCCTCCCAATTCCCAGGGGCTCAGGGCCCCTCCCCACCCCCTAGGGGCTCAGGGACCTCCAATTCCAGAACCTTGACCTCCCCAACTCCCAGGGGCTCAGAGACCCTCTCCAACCCAAACTCTCCGGTGCCACAGAACCCAAACAGGAGGAGACCCTGGGATTCAGGGACCCCTCCCCAATTCCCAGGGACTCAGGGACCCCTCCCCAATCCCCCAGGCCCCCAGGACCCCCCAGGCCCCCCGTGCTGACCGTAGGCCGAGGGGTCAGCGATGTGCTCCTCCATGAAGCAGCCGAAGCCCGACAGGTTGGTGGAGACGCTGGGGATGCCCATGACGGTGCACTCGGCTGGGGGAGGGGACACCACCGATTTTGGGGGGGTCCCCGAGGGTCCTGGGGGTCCAGGGAACCCCTAAAAGGGGAGCTGCTTACCCGGGGTGTAGCCCCAGGGCTCGTAGTAGGAGGGGAAGACCCCGAGGTGGCAACCCCGGACGAACTCCTCGTAGTCCACGGGCAGGAGGGGGCTGGTGGAGGACAGGAACTCGGGGTGGAAGATGATCTGGGGAGGGGGGAAAGGGGCACGTTAGACCCTCCTGGACTGCAGAATCGACTTCTGGACCTCAAAAAACCCCCTCTTGGACCTCAAAATGTTCTTCTGGACCTCAAAAAACCCCCTCCTGGATCTGAAAATCTGCTTTAGGATCCCAAAAAACCCTCTCCTGGACCTCAAAGTCTTCTTTTAGACATCAAAAAACTCTCTCCTGGACCTCAAAATGTTCTTCTGGACCTCAAAAAACCCCCTCCTGGACCTCAAAATCCCTTTCCTGGATCTGAAAATGTTCTTCTGGACCTCAAAAAATCCCCTCCTGGATCTCAAAATCCCTTTCCTGGACCTCAAAATGTTCTTCTGGACCTCAAAAAACCCCTCCTGGATCTGAAAATGTTCTTCTGGACCTCAAAAAACCCCCTCTTGGATCTCAAAGTTTGCTTTGAGATCCCAAAAAATCCCCTCTTGGACCTCAAAATGTTCTTCTGGACCTCAGAAAACCCCCTCCTAGATCTGAAAATGTTCTTCTGGACCCCAAAAAACCCCTCCTGGACCTCAAAATCCCTTTCCTGGACCCCAAAATCCCCTTTAGGGCCCCAAAAAACCCCTCCTGGACCTCAAAGTCTTCTTTTAGACATCAAAAAACCCCCTCCTGGACCTCAAAATATTTTAGACCTCAAAAAACCCCCTCCTGAATCTCAAAATCCCTTTCCTGGACGTCAAAGGCCCCTTTTGGGCCCCAAAATCACAGCCCCTGGACTGCAGAATCTTCTTCTGGACCTCAAAAAACCCCTCCTGGATCTCAAAATCCTCTTTTAGACCTCAAAAAACCCGCTCCTGGACCTCAAAATCCCTTTCTTGGGCCACAAAATGTTCTTCTGGACCTCAAAAAACCCCCTCCTGGATCTGAAAATCTTCTTCTGGACCTCAAAAAACCCCCTCCTGGACCTCAAAATCCTCTTTTAGACCTCAAAAAACCCCCTCCTGGACCTCAAAGTCCCCTTTTGGGCCCTAAAATCCAACCCCCTGGACTACAGAATCTACTTCTGGACCTCAAAAAACCTCTCCTGGACCTCAAAATCCCTTTCCTGGACCCCAAAATCCCCTTTAGGGCCCCAAAAAACCCCTCCTGGATCTCAAAATGTTCTTCTGGACCTCAAAAAACCCCCTCCTGGACCTCAAAATCTGCTTTAGGATCCCAAAAAAACCCTCCCCTGGGCCTCAAAATCTTCTTCTGGACCTCAAAATGTTCTTCTGGACCTCAAAAAACCCCCTCCTGGATCTCAAAATGTTCTTCTGGACCCCAAAAAACCCCCTCCTGGATCTGAAAATCTTCTTCTGGACCCCAAAAAACCCCCTCTTGGATCTGAAAATCTGCTTTAGGATCCCAAAATCCCCTCCTGGGCCTCAAAATCTTCTTCTGGACCTCAAAATGTTCTTCTGGACCTCAAAAAACCCCCTCCTGGATCTGAAAATCTTCTTCTGGACCTCAAAAAAACCCCCTCCTGGATCTGAAAATGTTCTTCTGGACCCCAAAAAACCCCCTCCTGGACCTCAAAATCTTCTTCTGGACCTCAAAAAACCCCTCCTGGATCTGAAAATCTTCTTCTGGGCCTCCTCAAACCCCAAATAAACCCCAATAACCCCCCTCAAACCTCAAATAAACCCCCTCAAACCCCAAATAAACCCCAATAACCCCCCATTTCCCACCGCCCTGATGTCCCCCGATGCCCCCTCCCCAAATTCCACCTTTGACCCTGTCGTTGGAGCTGTTGAAGAGCCCCAAACCCCCTAAAAACCCCAAATAAACCCTCAAATAAACCCCAAATAAACCCCAATAACCCCCCCAAACCCCCCATTTCCCACCCCCGATGTCCCCCGATGCCCCTCCCCAAATTGCACCTTGACCCTGTCGTTGGAGCTGTTGAAGAGCCCCAAACCCCCAAAAACACCCCAATAAACCCCCTCAAAACCCCAAATAAACCCCAAACAAACCCCAATAACCCCCAAACCCCCATTTCCCACCCCCGATGCCCCTGATGTCCCCTGATGCCCTCTCCCCAAATTGCACCTTGACCCTGTCGTTGGAGCTGTTGAAGAGCCCCAAACCCCCCCAAAACCCCTCAAATCCCAAATAAACCCCAAATAAACCCCAAATAAACCCCAATAACCCCCCAAACCCCCATTTCCCACCCCCCGATGTCCCCCGATGCCCCCTCCCCAAATTGCACCTTGACCCTGTCGTTCGGAGCTGTTGAAGAGCCCCAAACCCCCAAAAAAACCCCCTAAACCCCCATCAAACCCCAAATAAACCCCAAATAAACCCCAATAACCCCCCAAACCCCCATTTCCCAGCCCCCCAGATGCCCCCCCGATGTCCCCCTCCCCAAATTGCCACCTTGACCCTGTCGTTGAAGAGCCCTTAACCCCCAGAACCCCAAAAATCTCCAAAAACCCCCAAATAAACCCCTCAAACCCCAAATAAACCCCAAATAAACCCCAATAACCCCCCAAACCCCCATTTCCCACCCCCGATGTCCCCGATGTCCCCCCGGTGTCCCCTCCCCAAATTGCACCTTGACCCTGTCGTTGGAGCTGTTGAAGAGCCCCAAACCCCCCAAAACCCCCAAAAACACCCCAAAACCCCAAATAAACTCCCCAAAACCCCAAATAAACCCCAAATAAACCCCAATAACCCCCCCAAACCCCCATTTCCCACCCCCCCGATGCCCCCTGATGCCCTCTCCCAAATTGCACCTTGACCCTGTCGTTGGAGCTGTTGAAGAGCCCCAAAACCCCCAAAAACCCAAATAAACCCCTAAATAAACCCCAAACAAACCCCAATAACCCCCAAACCCCCATTTCCCACCCCCGATGTCCCCGTGTCCCCCGATGTCCCCCTCCCCAAATTGCACCTTGACCCTGTCGTTGGAGCTGTTGAAGAGCCCGATCCTGCGGATGGTGGTCAGGATGGGGTCGGTGGCATCGTCCAGCATGTTGTGGGTGCACACGGGGGAACGACTGACGCTGCAGTTTTGGGGGTTTTTGGGGTTTTAGGTTTTTGGGGGCACCCCTGGTTTGGGAGGACCTCCCAGTTGTCCCCACCCCCATAAAAATCTGGGACCCCCCAATTTTTCTTATCCCCCAAAATTAAGGGATCTGGGACCCTCCCCCCAATTGTTCAGCTCCCCAAAAATGGGGTCCCAGCCCCCCCAAAAAGGGGGTACCACCCCAAATAAGGGTTCCTCACATCCCCAGCCCCCCAAAAAAGGGGGTGCCACCCCAAAAAAGGGTTCCTCACATCCCCAGCCCCCCAAAAAAGGGGGTGCCCCCCCAAAAGGGGGTACCTGTGTGGCGAAGATGGCCCTTTTCATCATGGTGAAATCCTCCCTGTCCACCCCCCAAAAAAGGGGCTCCCAGTCCCCCAAAAATGGGGTCCCAGCCCCCCAAAAAAGGGTTTCCAACCCCCCAATCCCCAAAAAAGGGGGTCCCAGCCCCCCAAAAATGGGGTTCCAGCCCCCAACACCCCCCAAAAAGGGGGTGCCCCCCACCTGTGTGGCGAAGATGGCCCTTTTCATCATGGTGAAATCCTCCCTGCCCACCCCCCAAAAAAGGGGGTCCCACCCCCAAAAAGAGTTTCCCACCCCCCAAAAAAGGGGGTCCCACCCCTCTACCCCCCAAAAGGGGGTGCTCTCAGGGGTACCTGTGTGGCGAAGATGGCCCTTTTCATCATGGGAAATCCTCCTGCCCACCCCCAAAAGGGGGTCCAGCCCCAACCCCCCAAAAGGGAGTCCCAACCCCCAAAAGGGGGTCCCAAGCCTCCCTACCCCCCAAAAAGGGGGTGCCCCCACCTGTGTGGCGAAGATGGCCCTTTTCATCATGGTGAAATCCTCCTGCCCACCCCCCCAAGTGGGGGTCCCACTCTACCCCCAAAAGAGGGTCCAAACCCTCACCCCCCAAAAGGGTTTACCACATCTCCAGCCCCCAAAAATGGGTCCCAGCCCCCAAAGGGGGTACCTGTGTGGCGAAGATGGCCCTTTTCATCATGGTGAAATCCTCCTGCCCACCCCCCCAAAAAGCGGGCTCCCAGCCCCCAAAAATGGGGTCCCACCCCCAAAAAGGGGTCCCACCCCCAACCCCAAAAGTGGTGACACCCCAAAAAATGACCCTACATCTCCACCCCCAAAAAGGGGTCCCACCCCCAGCCCCCCAAAAAGGGTCCAGCCCCAGGGGGCACCTGTGGCGAAGATGGCCCTTTTCATCATGGTGAAATCCTTCCTGCCCACCCCCAAAAAGGGGCTCCCAATCCCCACAACCCCCAAAAAGGGCTCCCAGCCCCCAAAAAGGGGTCCCACCCCCAACACCCCAAAAGGGGTGCCCCCACCTGTGTGGCGAAGATGGCCCTTTCATCATGGTGAAATCTCTCTGCCCACCCCCCAAAAAGTGGTCCCAGCCCCCCAAAAGGGGTCCAACCTCCAAACCCCCCAAAAGGGGTGCCCCCAAAAGGGGTGCCCCCCAAAAGGGGTACCTGTGTGGCGAAGATGGCCCTTTTCATCATGGTGAAATCCTCCCTGTCCAGCATCTTGTTCATGTCCGGGAGGTTCCCCTGCCATTTTGGGACCCCCAAATCAGGGGGTTCTTTTTGGGGGGTTGGGGGTTTTTGGGGGTTGGGGTGAGGGTTTTTTTGGGGGGTTAGGGTGAGGGTTTTTGGGGAGTCTGGGGGAAGGGTTTTTTGGGGGGTCTGGGGTGGTTTGGGGGTTCAGGGTGAGGGGTTTTTGGGGGTTTGGGGGAGTTTTGGGGGGTTCAGGGTGGGGAGTGTTTTTTGAGGGGGTCTGGGAGGGGGTGTTTTTTGGGGGGTCCAGGGTTGGAGGGAGGGGTTTGGGGGTTCAGGGTGGGGGTTTTGGGGTGTTCAGGGTGAGGGGGTTTTTTTGGGGGTCAGAGTGGGGGTGTTTTTTGGGGGGTCCAGGGTTGGAGGGAGGGGGTTTGGGGGTTCAGGGTGGGGGTTTTGGGGTGTTCAGGGTGAGGGGGTTTTTTTGGGGGTTCAGGGTGAGGGTTTTTTTGGGGGTTTTGGGGGCTTCAGGGTGGGGGGGTTGAGGGGTTCAGAGTGGGGGATTTTGGGGTTCAGGGTGGGGGTTTTTGGGGGGCTGGGGTTGGGGGTTTTTTGGGGGTTTGGGGGTTTAGAGTGAGAGGTTTTTTGGGGGGTCCAGGGTGGGGGAGTTTTTGGGGGGTTTAGGGTGGGGGGTCTGGGGGCTTCAGGGTGGGGTTTTTTGGGGGTGGGTCTGAGGGGTTCAGGGTGAGAGGTTTTTTGGGGGTCTCAGGGTGGGGGTTTTTGGGGGTCTGGGAGGGGGTTTTTTGGGGGTGTCAGGGTGGGGGAGGGGTTTTGGGGTTCCAGGGTGGGGGGTTCGGGGGGTTGGGGGGTCTGGAAGGGTTTTTTTGGGGGTTTAGGGTGGGGAGGTGTTTTGGGGGTTCTAGGGTGTGTGTGGGGTTTTTTGGGGGTTCAGGGTGGGGGAGGGTTTGGGGGTTCAGGGTGGGGGATTTTGGGGGGTTTAGGGTGAGGGTTTTTATTTGGGGGGTCTGTGGGGGTTTGGGGGTTCAGGGTGAGGGGTTTTTTGGGGGTTGGGGTGGGGGTTTTGGGGAGGGTTTGGGGTGGGTTTTTTGGGGGTGTTTGGGGTTTTTTTGGGGTTCAGGGTGGGGGTTGTTTTTGGGGGGTTCAGGGTGAGGGGTTTTGGGGGTTCAGGGGTGGGGTGGTTTTTGGGGGTGTTTTTGGGGGTTCAGGGTGAGGGGTTTTTTTGGGGGTTGGGGTGGAGGTTTTTTTGGGGGCTGGGGGTTCAGGGTAAGGGTTTTTTTGGGGGGTTCGGGGGAGTTGGGGAGTTCAGGTGAGGGTTTTTTTGGGGAGGGTCCAGGTGTGGGGGTTCAGGGTGAGGGTTTTTTTTGGGGGGTTCAGGGGGAGTTGGGGAGTTCAGGGTGGGGTTTTTTTGGGGGTTTAGGGGTTCAGGGTGAAGGGTTTTTTGGGGGGTTCAGGGTGGGTTTTTTTTTGGGGGGTTTGGGGGTTCAGGGTGAGGGGTTTTTTTCGGGGTCCAGGGTGGGGCTGTTTTTTGGGGGGTTCAGGGTGGGTTTTTTGGGGGGTTCAGGATGGATTTTTTTGGGGGGTTCAGGGTGTTTTTTTGGGGGGGTCCAGGGTAGGTTTTTTTAGGGGTTTTGTTCTACACCAGCAGAGACTCAGTAGAGCTTCTTCCCAAATTTCTCCTTCACAGCGTCGCCGTGTCCCTGTTTGGGGGAAAGGGGGAATTTGGGGGCTTTGGGGGTCCTCAGGGGGTTTTGGGGGGATTTGGGGTCCCCTGGGTGGGTTTTGAGGTGGTTTTTGGGGTCCCACCAAAGCTGTTTCCTGACGGCCTGGCCCTGGGCGGGTTTGGGGTGATTTTGGGGTGATTTTGGGTGTTTTTGGGGTGATTTTGGGGTGGTTTTGGGGGTTTTTGGGGTCCCACCAGAGCTGTTTCCTGACGACCTGGCCCTGGGTCATTTTGGGGTGATTTTGGGTGTTTTGGGGGTGATTTTGGGGTGATTTTGGGTGTTTTGGGGGTGATTTTGGGTGGTTTTGGGTGTTTTTGGGGTGATTTTGGGTGTTTTTGGGGTCCCACCAGAGCTGTTTCCTGACGGCCTGGCCCTGGATGATTTTGGGATGATTTTGGGGTGATTTTGGGTGTTTTTGGGGGTTTTTGGGGGTGATTTTGGGGTGATTTTGGGTGTTTTTGGGGTCCCACCAGAGCTGTTTCCTGACGGCCTGGCCCTGGGTCATTTTGGGGTGATTTTGGGGGGTTTTGGGGTGGTTTTGGGGTGATTTTGGGGGTTTTTGGGGTGTTTTTGGGGTGATTTTGGGGTGTTTTTGGGGTGATTTTGGGGGTTTTTGGGGTCCCACCAGAGCTGTTTCCTGACGGCCTGGCCCTGGATGATTTAGGGGTGATTTTGGGGTGTTTTTGGGGTGATTTTGGGTGTTTTTGGGGTCCCACCAGAGCTGTTTCCTGACGGCCTGGCCCTTGAGCGACTCCACGTTGAAGTTGTTGGTCCTGGCAGGCATGATGAAAAAAGCCACCACCGTCACCTCGCTGCCGTTCACCTGCGGGGACAACGAGGTCACCCGGGGTCACCAGGGGTCACCAAGGTCACCTGGGGTCACCAGGGGTCACCTGGGGTCACCCCAATGTCACCCGGGGTCACCAGGGGTCACCAAGGTCACCCGGGGTCACCAGGGGTCACCCGGGGTCACCCCAAGGTCACCAGGAGTCACCAAGGTCACCCCAAGGTCACCCGGGGTCACCAAGGTCACCCGGGGTCACCAAGGGTCACCTGGGGTCACCCAATGTCACCTGGGGTCCCCAGTGTCCCCAATGTCCCCAATCCCCCCCAGTGTCTCCAATGTCCTCCCAGTGTCCCCAGTGTCCCCAACCCCCCCAATGTCCCCAATCCCCCCAATGTCCCCAATGTCCCCAGTGTCCCCAATCCCCCTCAATGTCCCCAATGTCCCCAATGTCCCCTAATCCCCCAGTGTCCCCAATCTCCTCAATGTCCCCAATGTCCCCAATCCCCCAGTGTCCCCAATGTCCCCCAATGTCCCCCAATGTCCCAATCTCCCTCAATGTCCCCAATGTCCCCATGTCCCCCAGTGTCCCCAATCCCCCAATGTCCCCAATCCTCCCAATGCCCCCAGTGTCCCCAATGTCCCCAATGTCCCCAATCCCCCAGTGTCCCCCAATGTCCCCCAATGTCCCCAATCCCCCCAGTGTCCCCAGTGTCACCCTGAGCAGGCAGTTGAGTCTGGCCAGGGCCTCCAGGAAGATGTGGGTGCCACTGACCCCCAATGTCCCCAATCCCCCAATGTCCCCAGTTCCCCCAGTGTCCCCAATCCCCCAGTGTCCCCAATCCCCCCAGTGTCCCCAATGTCCCCAGTGTCCCCAGTGCCCCCAATCCCCCAGTGTCCCCTAATGTCCCCAGTGTCCCCAGTGCCCCCCAATCCCCCCAGTGTCCCCCAATGTCCCCAGTGTCCCCAGTGTCCCCAATCCCCCCAGTGTCCCCCAATGTCCCCAGTGTCCCCAGTGCCCCCAATCCCCCCAGTGTCACCCTGAGCAGGTAGCTGAGCCTGGCCAGGGCCTCCAGGAAGATGTCGGGTGACACTGACCCCAATGTCCCCAATCCCCCAGTGCCCCCAGTGCCCCCAGTGCCCCCAGTGTCCCCAGTGTCCCCAATCCCCCAAGTCCCCAATCCCCCCAGTGTCCCCAATGTGTCTCCAGTGTCCCCAATGTCCCCAATCCCCTCAATGTCCCCAATGTCCCCAATTCCCCAATGTCCCCTAATGTCCCCAATCCCCAATCCCCCAATGTCCCCAATGTCCCCAATCCCCCCAGTGTCCCCTAATTCCCCAATGTCCCCAGTGTCCCCAGTCCCCCAGTGTCCCCAATGTCCCCAATCCCCCCAACATGCCCAATCCCCCAGTGTCCCCAATGTCCCCAAATGCCCCCAGTGTCCCCAAATCCCCTAGTGTCCCCAAATCCCCCAATGTCCCCAATGTCCCCCCAATGTCCCCAATGTCGTCCCCAATGTCCCCAATCCCCCAATGTGACCCCAATGTCCCCAGTGTCCCCAATGTCCCCAATCCCCCAATGTCCCCAATGTCCCCAATGTCCCCAATCCCCTCAATGTCCCCAATGCCCCCAATGTCCCCAATGTCCCCAATGTCCCCAATCCCCAATGTCTCCAATCCCCCAGTGTCCCCAATCCCCCCAATGTCCCCAATCCCCCCCACTGTCCCCAGAGTCACCCCTGAGCAGGTAGTTGAGCCTGGCCAGGGTCTCCAGGAAGACCCAGTGTCCCCAATGTCCCCAGTCCCCCAGTGTCCCCAGTGTCCCCAGTGTCCCCCAATGTCCCCAATCCCCCAATGTCCCCAGTTCCCCCAGTGTCCCCAATGTCCCCCAATGCCCCCAGTGTCCCCAATCCCCCAATGTCCCCAATGTCCCCAATCCCCCCAGTGTCACCCTGAGCAGGCAGCTGAGGCCTGGCCAGGGCCTCCAGGAAGATGTGAGTGACACTGACCCCACAGTGTCCCCAATCCCCCAATGTCCCCAATGTCCCCAATCCCCCAGTGTCCCCAATCCTCCCAGTGTCCCCAATCCCCCAGTGTCCCCAATCCCTCCCAGTGTCCCCAGTGTCACCCTGAGCAGGTAGTTGAGCCTGGCCAAGGCCTCCAGGAAGACCCCAATGTCCCCAGTGTCCCCAATCCCCCAACATCCCCAATGTCCCCTAATCCCCCCAATGTCCCCAATCCCCCAGTGTCCCCAATGTCCCCAATCCCCCCAATGTCCCCAATCCCCCTAATGTCCCCAATTCCCCAGTGTCCCCCAGTGTCCCCAGTGTCCCCAGTCCCCCCAGTGTCCCCAGTCCCCCAGTGTCACCCTGAGCAGGTAGTTGAGCCTGGCCAGGGCCTCCAGGAAGATGTGGGTGACACTGACCCCCAATCCCCCAATCCCCTCAATGTCCCCAATCCTCCAATGTCCCCAGTTCCCCAGTGTCCCCAGTCCCCCAGAGTCACCCTGAGCAGGCAGTTGAGCCTGGCCAGGGCCTTGAGGAAGGCCCAGTGTCCCCAATGTCCCCAATGTCCCCAATCCCCCCCAGTATCCCCAGTGTCCCCAGTGTCCCCAATCCCCTCCAATGTCCCCAATGTCCCCAATGTCCCCAATGTCCCCAATCCCCCCCAGTATCCCCAGTGTCCCCAGTGTCACCCTGAGCAGGTAGTTGAGCCTGGCCAGGGCCTCCAGGAAGATGTGGGTGACACTGACCCCCAGTGTCCCCAGTGTCCCCAGTGTCCCCCAGTGTCCCCAATGTCCCTAAATGACCCTAAAGTGCCCCCCAATGTCCCCCCCAGTCCCCCCAATCCCCTCAATGTCCCCAACCCCAGTGTCCCCAATCCCCTCAATGTCCCCAATGTCCCCAACTCCCCCCAATGTCCCCAATCCCTCCCACTGTCCCCAGTGTCACCCTGAGCAGGTAGTTGAGCCTGGCCAGGGCCTCCAGGAAGGCCCAGTGTCCCCAATGTCCCCAAACCCCCAACCCCCCAGTGTCCCCAATCCCCCCAGTGTCCCCAATCCCTCCCAGTGTCCCCAATCCCTCCCAGTGTCCCCAATCCCTCCCAGTGTCCCCAATTCCCCCAATCCCCTCAATGTCCCCAATGTCCCCAACTCCCCAGTGTCCCCAGTGTCCCCAATGTCCCCAGTGTCCCCAATCCCTCAATGTCCCCAGTTCCCCCAGTGTCCCCAGTGTCACTCCTGAGCAGGCAGTTGAGACCTGGCCAGGGCCTCCAGGAAGATGTGGGTGACACTGACCCCCAATCCCCAATCCCCCCAATCCCCTCAATGTCCCCAATTCCCCCAATCCCCCAGTGTCCCCAGTATCCCCAGTCCCCCCAGTGTCACCCTCGAGCAGGTAGTTGAGCCTGGCCAGGGCCTCCAGGAAGATGTGGGTGACACTGACCCCCAATGTCCCCAATGTCCCCAATCCCCCAGTGTCCCCAATTCCCCCCAGTATCCCCAGTGTCCCCAGTGTCCCCAGTGTCACCCTGAGCAGGTAGTTGAGCCTGGCCAGGGCCTCCAGGAAGATGTCAGCGCCCTTGTTGGAGAACTCGTAGCGCCCGGCGATGAAGAAGAAAAGGGTCTTGTCCAGGTCGAAATCCAGGTGCCTGCAGGGGGGTCAAAGGTCACCCCAAAAAAACCACCCCCACCCCCCGGGGTTGACTCAGAGACCCCAAAAAACCCCCCCAGCAACACCCAAAAAAAAACCTCCCAGGACTCACCCAAAAACCCACCCGGGATCCCCCAAGGCTGACTCAGAGACCCCAAAATGCTCCAGGACCCCCTGGGAACACCCAAAACCCCCAGGACCCCCCCAAAATCCTGCCCAGGGATCCCCCAGGCTGACTCAGAGACCCCCAAAAACCCCTCTGGGATCACCCAAAACCCCCAGGACCCCCCTCCAAAATCCTGCCCAGGATCCCCCCAGGCTGACTCCAGAGACCCCCAAAAACCCCTCTGGGAACACCCAAAACCCCCAGGACCCCCCCAAAATCCTGCCCAGGATCTCCCCCAGGCTGACTCAGAGACCCCTAAACCCTCCTGGGACCACCTAAAACCCCCAGGACCCCCCAAAACCCCCTGGGACCACCTAAAAACCCCCCAGGACCCCCCAAAACCCACCTGGAACCCCAAATTCCCCCTGAACCCCCCAGGCTGACTCCAGAGACCCCCAAAACCCCCTGGGATCACCCAAAACCCCCAGGACACCCCTAAGACCCTCGAAGACCCTCCCAGGCTGACTCAGAGACCCCCAAAATCCCCCCAAAACCCACCCAGGATCCCCCCAGGTTGACTCAGAAACCCCCAAAACCCCCCTGGGAACACCCAAAACCCACCAAGACCCCCTGAGTTTTTGGGGTCCCCTCAGGATTTCGGATTCCCCCCAGGTTTTTGAGGTCCCCCCATGTTTTTGGGGTCCCCTCCGTGTTTTGGGGTGCCCTTTTTTGGGGTGACTGACCCTTAGAAGTGCCCCCTGCCCCCTCCCCGGGTCCCCCTCACTCCCCTGGGTTCCCCCCAGGTTTTGGGGTTTCCCTGTGAGTTTTTGGGTCCCCTGGTGTCTTTAGGGTCCCCCCCGTGTTTTTGGGGTCCCCCCCGTGTTTTGGGGTGCCCTTTTTTGGGGTGACTGACCCTTAGAAGTGCCCCCAAACCCCTGGATCCCCCCCAAACCCCCGAGTGCCCCTCCCAGTCCCCCGGGTGTCTCCACCAGGTTTTTGGGTGTCCCACCCAGGGTTTTTGGGGTTCCTCCTGAGATTTTGGGGTCCCCCCCGTGTTTTTGGGGTCCCCCCCGTGTTTTGGGGTGCCCTTTTTTGGGGTGACTGACCCATAGAAGTGCCCCCAAACCCCCGAGTGCCCCTCCCAGTGCTCCATTTCCTCACACCCTGAGTTTTTGGGATCCCCTGGGTTTTGGGATTCCCCTCGTGTTTTTGGGATTCCCCTCGTGTTTTTGGGGTCCCTCCCGTGTTTTTGGGGTCCCCCCCAGTGTTTTGGGGTGCCCTTTTTTGGGGTGACTGACCCATAGAAGTGCCCCCAAACCTCCGAGTGCCCCTCCCAGTCCCCTGGGTGCCCTCCCTTGGATTTCAGGATCCACTCCTGGGTTTTTGGGGTTCCCCCGTGTTTTTGGGGTCCCCCCAGGTTTTGGGATTCCCCCCCTGTTTTTGGGGTCCCCCTCATGTTTTGGGGTGCCCTTTTTGGGGTGACTGACCCTTAGAAGTGCCCCCAAACCCCCGAGTGCCCCTCCCAGCCCCCTGGGTGCCCTCCCTTGGATTTCAGGATCCACTCCTGGGTTTTTGGGGTTCACCCTCAGGATTTCGGATTCCCCCCAGGTTTTTGAGGTCCCCCCATGTTTTTGGGGTCCCCTCCGTGTTTTGGGGTGCCCTTTTTTGGGGTGACTGACCCATAGAAGTGCCCCCTGCCCCCTCCCCCGGGTCCCCCTCCCTCCCCTGGGTGCCCCCCTGCGTTTTGGGGTTTCCCTCTGGGTCTTTTGGGTCCCCCCGTGTTTTTGGGGTTCCCCCTGTATTTTGGGGTGCCCTTTTTGGGGTGACTGACCCGTAGAAGTGCCCCCAAACCCCTGGATCCCCCCAAACCCCCGAGTGCCCCTCCCTTTTGCCCCCCTGTGTTTCTTGGGGGTCCCCAGTGTTTTGGGGTGCCCTTTGGGGTGACTGACTTGCAGAAGTGCCCCCAAACCTCCGAGTGCCCTCCCAGCCCCCTGGGTGCCCTCCCAGTCGGCCCTCGGGTGTCTCACACCTGGGTTTTTGGTGTCCCACCTTGCGGGTTTTTGGGGTCCCCCCGTGTTTTTGGGGGTCCCCTCTGCTTTTTGGGGTCCCCCATGTTTGGGACGCCCTTAGGGTAGACTGACCCATAGAAGTGCCCCCAAACCCCTCGAGTGCCCTCCCAGTCCCCGGGTGCCCTCCCTTGGATTTCAGGATCCATTCCCAGGTTTTTGGAGTTCCCTCTGGATTCTGGGGTCCTCCCATGTTTTTGGGGTCCCCCCGTGTTTTTGGGGTCCCCCCCGTGTTTTGGGGTGCCCTTTTTGGGGTGACTGACCCATAGAAGTGCCCCCAAACCCCCCTGGTCCCCCCCCTAACCCCCGGGTGCCCCTCCCGTCCCCGGGTGCCCCCCCTTGGGTTTCGGACCCTTCCCGCGGCTTTTTGGGGTTCCCTCTGGGTTTTTGGGTCCCCCCGTGTTTTTGGGGTCCCCCCCGTGTTTTGGGGTGCCCTTTTTGGGGTGACTGACCCGTAGAAGTGCCCCCTAAACCCCTGGATCTCCCAAACCCCTGGGAGTGCCCCTCCTAGCTCCCCCCGGGTGTCTCCACCCTAGGTTTTTGGGTGTCCTACTCCAGGTTTTTGGGGTTCCTCTCGAGTTTTTGGGTTCCCCCCGTGTTTTTGGGGTCCCCCCCGTGTTTTGGGACGCCCTTTTTTGGGGTGACTGACCCATAGAAGTGCCCCCTGCCCCCCCCCTGGGTCCCCCTCCCTCCCCTGGGTTCTCCCGCCTGGGGTTTCCTCGGGGCTTGGGCCCTCTGGGCCTTCGGATTCCCCCCAGGTTTTTGGCGTCCCCCCGTGTTTTTGGGGTCCCCCCCTGTGTTTTGGGGTGCCCTTTTTTGGGGTGACTGACCCGATAGAAGTGCCCCCAAACCCCTGGATCCCCCCCAAACCCCCGAGTGCCCCTCCCAGTGCCCCCTGGGAGCTCTCCACCGGGATTTCGGGTGTCCCACCCGGGGTTTTTGGGGTTCACCTCAGGATCTCGGATTCTGGGTTTTGGGGTCCCCCCTATGCTTCTTGGGGTCCCCCCCCGTTTTGGGGTGCCCTTTTTTGGGGTGACTCGACCCATAGAAGTGCCCCCAAACTCCCCTGAGTGCCCCCTCCCAGTCCCCCGGGTGCCCTCCCTGGGATTCCCAGGATCCATTCCCGGGTTTTTTGGAGTTCCCCCTGAGATTTTGGGGTCCCCCCGTGCTCTTGGGGTCCCCCCGTGCTTTTGGGGTCCCCCCCATTTTGGGGCGCCCTTTTTTGGGGTGACTGACCCTATAGAAGTGCCCCCAAACCCCTGGATCCCCCCCCAAACCCCCGAGTGCCCCGCCTCCCAGCCCGGTGCCCCCCCAGGTTTCTGGGGTGTCCCTCCCGGGTTTTTGGGGTCCCCTCCAGTTTTTGGGGTCCCCCCCGTGTTTTTGGGGTCCCCCCCGTGTTTTGGGACGCCCTTTTTTGGGGTGACTGACCCATAGAAGTGCCCCCCTGCCTCCCTGCCCTGGGTCCTCCCTCCCCCTGCTCCCCCTGTGTTTTGGGGTTTCCCTCTGGGTTTTTGGGGTTCCCTCTGGGATTTTGGATTCCCCCAGGTTTTTGGGGTCCCCCCGTGTTTTTGGGGTCCCCCCCTGTGTTTTGGGGTGCCCTTTTTGGGGTGACTGACCCATAGAAGTGCCCCCAAACCCCCTGGATCCCCCCCAAACCCCCGAGTGCCCCTCCCAGTGCCCTGGGTGCCCTCCCTGGGATTTCAGGATCCACTTCCTGGGTTTTTGGGGTTCACCCCAGATTTCGGATTCCCTTGGTTTTGGGGTCCCTCCCATGTTTTTGGGGTCCCCCCCGTGTTTTGGGGTGCCCTTTTTTGGGGTGACTGACCCATAGAAGTGCCCCCAAACCCCCTGAGTGCCCCTCCCAGTCCCCTGGGTGCCCTCCCCTGGATTTCAGGATCCATTCCCATGTTTTTTGGATTCCCCCCAGGTTTTTGGGGCCCCCCCATGTTTTGGGGTCCCCCCGTGTTTTTGGGGTCCCCCCCATTTTGGGGTGCCCTTTTTGGGGTGACTGACCCATAGAAGTGCCCCCAAACCCCTGGATCCCCCCCAAACCCCCGAGTGCCCCTCCCAGTCCCCCGGGTGTCTCCACCAGGTTTTTGGGTGTCCCACCCAGGGTTTTTGGGGTTCCTCCTGAGATTTTGGATTCCCCCCTGTATTTTTGGGGTCCCCCCGTGTTTTGGGACACCCTTTTTGGGGTGACTGACCCTTAGAAGTGCCCCCTGCCCCCTCCCCGGGTCCCCTCGTCTCCCTGGGTTCCCCCTGCGTCTTGGGGTTTCCTCTGGGATTTCGATCTCCCCGTGTTTTTGGGGTCCCCCCTGTATTTTTGGGGTCCCCCCCATTTTGGGGCGCCCTTTTTGGGGTGACTGACCTGTAGAAGTGCCCCCTGACGAACTCCTGCACCCGGCCTTGCTCTGGGCGTGCAGGTTCTGGAACCCGTGCATGGCCGAGAACTTGCGAACGCTCAGCCTGCTGGGGGTCACCAGGTCTGGGGAGGGGGCGTGGGGGTCAGGGGGTCAGGGGACCCCCAAAATCCAGGGGACCCCCAAAATCCAGGGGGACCTCCTGAGGGTCGCCCCAAATCTCTCTGGGATCCCCTGAGTCCCTCCCTTGGGGTCCCCTCAAGGCAGAGCTGGGTCCTTCTGGGGATGATGAGGGGGGTTTCTGGGGTTTTGGGGTTCCCCCAAAAAGTGGGGGTCAGCAGGTCTAGGGGGTCAAGGGGGTCAGGGGACCCCCTAAAGTCCAGGGGGACCCCGAGGGTCGCCCCCCAAATCCTGAATCCCCTGAGTCCCCATTTGGGGTCCCCTCAAGGCAGAGTTGGGTCCTTCTGGGGATGATAAGGGGGTTCTGGGGGTTTTGGGGTTCCCCAAAAAGTGGGGGTCAGCAGGTCTAGGGGGTCGGGGGTCAGGGGACCCCCAAAGTCCAGGGGGACCCCTGAGGGTCACCCCCAAATCTCTGAAACCCCCCCTGATCCCCCCTCAATGCACAGGGTGGGGTGCCCAGGCCAGGGCACACTTTGGGCCTACTGGGGGTCTTTAGGGGTGAGGGGGAGTCTGGAGGGTCCTTGGGGTCATCAGGAATTGGGAGTCAGGGGGACCCCCAAAATCCAGGGGGACCCCCCAGGGTCACCCCCAAATCTCTGGGATCCTCCTCCTGAGTCCCCACTCGGGGTCCCCTCAAGGCAGAGCTGGGTCCTTCTGGGGATGATGACGGGGGGTCTCCTGGGGGTTTTTGGGGTTCTCCCAAAAAGTGGGGGTCAGCAGGTCTAGGGGGTCAGGGGGTCAGGGGGACCCCTAAAATCAAGGGGGACGCCTGAGGGTCGCCCCCAAATCTTTCTGGGACTCTCTCCTGATCCCCCTCAACGCACAGGGTGGGTGCCCAGGCCAGGCACACTTTGGGCCTTCTGGGGGTCTTTTAGGGGGAGGGGGTCTGGAGGGTCCTGGGGTCATCAGGAATTGGGGTTGGGGAGACCCCCAAAATCCAGGGGACCCCCGAGGGTCACCCCCAAATCTCTGGGACTCCTCCTGAGTCCCCCTCAATGCACAGGGTGGGGTGCCCAGGCCAGGGCACACTTTGGGCCTTCTGGGGTCTTTTAGGGGTGAGGGGGGTCTGGAGGGTCCTGGGGTCATCAGGAATTGGGGGGTCAGGGGGGACCCCCAAAATCCAGGGGGACCCCCGAGGGTCGCCCCCAAATCTCTGGGACCCCCCCTGATTCCCCATTTGGGGTCCCCTCAAGGCAGAGCTGGGTCCTTCTGGGGATGATGAGGGGGGGTTCTGGGGGTTTTGGGGGTTCCCCCAAAAAGTGGGGGTCAGCAGGTCTGGGTCAGGGGACCCCAAAATCCAGGGGGATCTCGAGGGTCACCCCCAAATCTCTGGGATCCCCCTCTGATTCCACAACACCCCCCTTGATCCTTCTGGGGCCCCCCTTTGGGTCCTTCCAGGGGCGAGGGGGGGCCTGGGAGGGTTGGGGGGTTTTGGGGTGCCCTGGGTGATTTTGGGGTGCCCTGGGTGATTTTAGGGTGCCCTGGGGTGATTTTGGGTGCCTTGGGGGTGTTTGGGGTACATTTTGGGGGTGCCCACCTGGCTTTCTGAGCAGCTGCTCAGCCTCGTGGTGGTGATGTGGGGAGTTTGGGGGTCCTGGGTGGGTTATTGGGTCCCCTGACGCTGGGGGGTTTTTGGGGTGCCCTGGGGTGATTTTGGGGTGCCCTGGGGTGATTTTGGGGTTCC